TCCCTACACTTATCCTTTGTGTGCCTTGGCCTTTTGTTATATGAACACTACAGGTTGTCATTGTTCTCTTTCCATTGGTTCGCAACATGATTGTGGAATCCTCCTTGTCCCACACTTTGTACTGTCGGTCCTTCTTATCTGGTCTCTTCTTGAGGAGATGACTACAGCATCATTTGCCCTTGAGGTAGGTGTGAACAAAGTAGGACCATTTGAGATTGTTGTTTCCATTGAGCCTATAAGAGGCTCATGCTTTAAAGCTCCTCAGTCTTATCCACAAAGCTAGAATTCTCAATTGGATTTGAATTGCTTGATACAATGATCTTTTATTCAGATCCTGACATGAAAATAGGTATGAATCGAGGTGACAACGATGAAGGCTGAGTCACAAAAGGAAATGAGAGTTGTCGTAGCAATGAATTCCACACAAGGAAATAGGAATCAGCAATGAAGTTTTGCTGGAATAAGGGAAGTTGCAGTAATGAAGTCTGCATGTAGGAACACAAGGCAGCAATGAAGGCCACTGAAATGAGGAAGCAGAGACCAAAGTGATGGATTCCTAGAAAACTTAGAGCTTTAATACTATGTGGAAAATCACAATGTGAAGAGATAATAGAATGATTCTCATTAATGATTTCAAAATAATATTACATAGGTATTTATAGCTTGGTACAGGGCTGCATATAAGGAAACAAATCACCCCTAATAATCTGAAGTAATCTCCCAATAATCAGAAATAATTTCCTAGACCGACCCCTAAACAGAATCCCCTAATTCAAGTAATTTCAAATACACTAAAGTAACTTGCATTTAATTTACAGTATCTACATTTACATTTAAACAATAACTGTGTACTAGTGAAAGCTATTCGCTAATGTTTATGTGAACATGGTAAGATAAATAGGCATAGTCATTCTAGGGCTGTAACAAGTTGTAGTCAATTCCCTGCTAAAGATCTGAGGTTTCTTAAAGCAAAGATTTTTTTTATGGAAAGTTGGGTTGATATGTATGGTGTTGGCTTTAATGTGGTGGAATTTCATTTCCCTGTTTGGAATGTTAGATGAGGCATAAACTTGAAAAATCTCATTTGAAAAATGAGTGCATTTTAAAGACATTTTCTGCGATCACCTTACTGGTGGGGAATACTTCTCTTGGGTGCTGATGGTTTGTTGTGTCCCTTCTTCCCCTTTTTTTTTTTTCTCACTTTATAAGGGGCAAGAGAAGCACTCATTTGTATCTTCTCTCTTGTTTTTCTTAATTAGTTCAATAATAATCCTGTAATTGGAATATAGAAGTAATAGTGTTGTCATGAATTTCTGCATACACTGATTTCTTGTTGACAACAATATAAGCAACAGTGATGTCATAGATTTCTACATGCAAGCGATGTCTCCTGAATCCCATGTTTCTCATTAAACTCGTAAAAGCTAACTATTTCAAAAGACCATAATTTGGAACTCAAAACATGGTCACAGACTTATCACCAGGCTTAATAATAAATATAAGCAATATGTTTATTCTCCCCATTTAGTGCTACTGAAAGAAAACTTGTAATAGTTATTAACAAATGATAAAAGAAGTTGATGGACTTGTCAAATGTTTTTGGTACATCTAGGTGTCTTCATTAAAATTTGAGCTTATATTGATCTTTATGGATTTATCAGAATCTCCATGCACTATAACCACACAAGCTATTCAGTGGTGGACACGCAGAAAGGGAAAGTGGTTGGACCTACATCAGTTTTTTTCTTTTTAGAATGTATTACAATTGCACCTATTACCATGCTTGTTTAATGGCAATAGTTCTAGCTTTCAAGTGTTTTCCAGAATCAATTTTTAACAAGCTGATAGCTCAATCTAGCTCCATTTACATAGCATCATATTCTTATGCTTATTATTACTTTACATTATTTAGATTGCATTGGTTCGGCATTCAACATAAAAGGAGCAATGCAGTGCCCTAATTGTCGGAAGATTGAGAAAGGTCAATGGCTATATGCTAATGGTTGTCGGTCATATCCAGAATTTAGCATGGATGAGTGGACGCATGATGAGGACCTTTATGATCTCAGCTACTCTGAGATGGTAAGTAGTCCTGTTAAGTTATGATTTGTTAATGTTTTAATTTGTTTTATGCTTGTACCTGAACTTAGCCGTGCATGAACATTTTGTTTATTGATTAGGTATTTATGTGTGTGCGAGAGTGAGAGAATTTGCAAACTTGTTCTTTGCTTGGTTTTATCAATAAGACTTTCCCTGCGGGTGGTTAGCTGTATGCCTTTCTCCGTCTGTATTGCCACAAAATTGTATGAAATTATAGACCATGAGCAAAAGTGAAGTCACCATAAAGATTTTAGAAAAAGGGGAACTCAATATTATATCACAATAACATTTGATCTGATCTGAATTTTAGCTCCCCTCTGCCTTATGCCTTCATTCCTCTACGTTTTTTTGTCAATCTGCAACTCTTAGTGTACCATGAATACCTGCCAGTTATTGTTTCCGTCCATTGCCATTTGTAGTACGTAAGTTGATAAATCTAGATGAAATTTGTTTTCATATGTATTAGTTGTTAGATTTTCAAGTTTGGCATTACCTGTTTTAATTGTACTTATTTCTTGTTAGGTGGACAGATAATATTTTGCTCACGAATTTGACTAACTTTTTTTTTAACTACATGGTTTCTGCAGTCCTTTGGAGTTCATTGGTGCCCTTTTGGCAACCTGACCCGACTTCCATCATCTTTTGAGTAAGCCTAATGCATACAAATTAATATTTGTTTTTTGTTTCGTGGACTTGGACTTGTCATTTTCGTATTATTTTGTTCTTTAGTGTCTAGATTATGTTTTTGTGCATTAAAAGAAAACATGTATTGGGATTTTCGGGAAGACTGGTTTGAGAAGACACTTTCAGTTGTATTGTTACTCTGTGTGGCTTTAACCATATTTGACTTTTATTTATTAAATTTGTTTTCACATATCACATTAACCATATATTATAAATGGTTTTTGCAACACTGAACTGATTGAAGTAATGTTTTAATTTGAATATGGAACATAAGAGAAAAATGTTAGAAAGCATAGTGGAAATCTTGAGGAGCATCACAATTTTAAGGCATTAGTTTCAGTAAAAAATTTATAAGTTAGCTTCTTACCATGCTTACCATGTGTTTTGGTGTGCATTAAAGAGCAGTGGACATGAGTAAAATTGAAGCAACTAATTCTAGCTTTTGCATTTTATACGAAATTTGACGTGAAATATGGATAATAGGTGTAGATCCAAACACATACTTAGTTGCCCCATTAAGTGTTTGTTTACATGAAAATTCTTTATTTCCATCTGTGTAAACACATACTTAGTTGCCCCATTAAGCTTTATGACGTACATGGCGGTCATGACGGATTTTTTAAAAAAAAAAACCTATTTTTGGGCTTCGAAATAGGCCCAAATGGAGTGAGCCCTATGTTTTTGGCTCATCTCCGCGTCTCGTCTCTCTTCTCCCTCACAGTCGCGACTGCACTTGAAGAGGAGCTCATGCCCTAAACCTCTCCGGTCACCTTCGTTCAACTCCAATCACTGCTCTCCGGTCACCTTTGCCATCGACCACATGAACCGTGGTGGCCCAACACTCCAGCCAGCAACCACGAAGTGCGAACAGCACTTACGGAAGTCGAAACCGTCCCTAATCACCTCCGTTCACCGTCCCTTCGTCCCCTTTCTAGCTGGCGACCTAAACCGTGGTGGCCTAGTACTCCGGCGAGCTACTCCGGCGACATAGCCAAACTAGGTTTTTTTTCTAGTTTTAATCCTACTTTTTTTTTTTCAGTTTTAATCCTCCTCCTTTTATTTTTTCAGTTTTAATCCTCCTTTTTTTTTCCTAGTTTTAATCCTCCTTTTAATTTTTCATACTCCTTTGAGTCATTTCTTAATGAATTCATTGTTGCATCTACAGCAACAATTTTTTTAATCCCAATTCTTCTACCAATTGGGTCAATTTAAATTCCCATTTTCTTCTAAATTCTAAACTAACATTGAGTGCCTATTTTATTATTGTTCTTTTTTCTTATTTTTATGATATTTAAGTATTATGTTGCTTGTTATTTATTTTGTTGTTTTCTTTATATATATATATTAGGATTTTCGACCTCACCGCGATAGACCGTTATCCGCTATTGATAACCTTGCCTTGTGCTAAGCCTTGGAAGCCTTGCTGCCACCTTAATCTTTTGGAACGTTGAACTTTGAAGTTCTTCCTTTCCTTTTTTTTCTTCTTCTTTAGTAATGTAATTAACTAATTTAGTATGAGTACTCTTTTCCACCCTCAACAGAAGGTCTGTTATTCTTTCAAGTTGGGCTCATATTTCTAACGTTCTTGGCAATATTTCAATTTGTTTCTTGTCATTGCAGTTGCAGTCCAAATGAAGGCTTGTTGTTTACATTTTATTGAAATTAATCTCGGTCCCTAAATCATACTTCTAATTTGTTGAATGATGAAATAGTTTTCCTACCTTTAAGAATGTGCCCTAATTAGATCTGTACATATGAGATTCACCCGAGGTTGGCTTGCCTTGGCATGTTAAAGCTATATATTTTGTACTGTGTTGAATGCTGCCCAAATTGATCATTACCTACTCAACATACAGGTTGGGATGAGTTAACTATGCATTTTTATAAACACATTTTTTGTTGATGAATAAATAAAAATGATTTAACCTTCCAATGTTTCTTAAATTTTTAGGCATTTTTGAGAGACTATCCCCTCACATCACACACACATAAAAGTAATCGTAGGATGTTTATTCAACTAATATTTTGTGTTCCTGATTTGTCCAGGGAAGGGGAGTTTTCGTCATCTGCATGTAAGAGGAACCTTTTCTTGCTAATCAGCCTCCATTTGTTTAGTTGATATTTGCATTGCACTGAAACTATTAATTTAATGGAATGATGACATGCAGATCATGATATATTGGGACAACATGCTATATTTGCTGAACATACAGCTGTGTCATCTGCCAGTCATCCTTGCCCATATATTGCCTACTTTGGACCAATACATCCATCCTCCTCAAATTCAGGTGGAACTGTATCAGAAGCTGCTAACTTCAACCATTGGAATGGATCATCTGTGCCCAGTGACATGCCAACTTCCTACACATTTCCTGCTGTGGATCTTCATTATCACAGTTGGGAACACCACTCCCCTCCTTTCTCTACAGCAAGTAGTCGTCTAGTTGCTGCTGATCAACCATCAGTATCCCCTGGAAGTCAAAGGCCAGCCAGGGGTGGTTCTGATGTACCGAGATCAGGATCTTTTATGCATCCCTTCCTTGTTGGTCACAGGTACCACTTTAGAGTTGACTTACCTTAGTTGAATACATTTGTTTGCACGAGTGTAATGCATGTTCAAATTTAATTTCAGGCGTGAGCTAAACCATAATATATATCTGCTTGTTGCATTAAATACACAGTGAATTTTGGTTATAAATAAAAATGATGGATCTCATAATCGTTATTGGCTAGTGGAAATTTGCTCAGGTCATAAATTGATATTACATGCACCTTTCGGAAGTACAACTTTAAATGCATTAATTTCTGCAGTTCTGCTGCCAGAGCGGGGAGCTCAGTTGCTTCCTCAATGATCCCTCCTTATCCTGGTAGCAATGCTCGGGCCCGTGATAGAGTTCAGGCTCTTCAGGCATACTATCAACCACAGCAACCTCCTAACTCAACCTCAATGCGGACACCCATCACCTCTGGCACCCGAAGACCCAGCAGTCATAGTGGATCAGCTCAATTAGCACCTATAGCCACATCGCCAGACCAAAATGGTGGCTTCTTTCTAATCCCATCAAGTTCATCAGGCCGCAATTTTCAAGAAGAAAACCATCTACCAAATCATTTTCATGCTTGGGAAAGAGACCACTTGCCTTCGTTATCATTGAGCCATATCGATAGAGATTCAGGTTGGAGAGCATACCACCAGGCCACCAGCAGGTCAGACCCAGGTACCAGGTCCAGCAGCTTTCGCTCAAGGCATGGATCAGACAGAATGCCTTCACAAAATCGGTAATACACATGTATCCTGTTCACTGTGAAGCAAAACTACCATTACTATGGAAAAGTTATGTATGCTTTGAGAAATGTTACATATTGCTTTGGCAGTTGAGCCTTTGGGTCTGTCCTGTGACGACAGACTATATATACTCTGGCTGGTCTTGGAATTGATTTTTCCGATAGCCACCAGTGTGATGGACATTTGCTTCCTCTAGTTTATTTGCATCGGTGGGCATAAAATAAGATGGTATATCTAGTTGGGGAAATCAGGTTATGGAAGAAATACTGGGGCGTTGTGATGAATCAAGTGCTGTGGTTGGATTTGTAGTGGGTCAAGTATTTATATGTTTGATAACGACGCTCATGCAAATGCTGTGTATTGAGAATTCGAGTAATTTTACTTATACCCCTTGGCGAGAGTGATTTTTAAACTGTTGTGCAAGAACTGAGCCAAAGTATGGAACTCGCATGATAGATACCATACCTCGGAATAATCAAAGTTCAAGGCTGGTTTTAAAACAATCGATCTTTAAGTGGTTACCTTATTAAATATTATTTCATAACTTGAAATATTTTTAACATGAAAGTTCTTGGCAACTTCAGGGGTTCGCGTGACACGTACGATTGTAACCTTTTTCTTTCATAGCTAATTCATGTAATCCCGTTTTTTTTTTATATTAGTTTCCATAAATATTTTGAAGTTAAAACTGATTTTTTTGATTGCCTCTAAATGAAATTAAATAACAAAAAATCGTTTATCAGCAATATTTTTAATCAAAATTTTATTTTGATTAGAATAATTGTTAATTATTCGAATAATTTAATTTTCACAACTTTTCAAGATATACACTTAAAAGAAAATTGCCTTAAAGTCAAACATACTATATTTTTCATCGGTCCATGTAATTATTTTTACACTGTCGGTGAATGTAATTGTTTTTACACTAACTGTATAAAAAAATCAATATTTATAATGTTAGCTGATTATTTAGTATTTTTTTTTCAAAAAATGAACTGAATCAAGTGTTTTTTTAAGATTAATCTGTACATTTACTTTGTTGAGTGTTTATGTCATGTTGGTCTCAATAAATATTATGACATGCATTTATGTTTAATGAGTACTAGATTTTGGAATGATGAATGCAGTCGATGAAAGTTAATAAATTATTAGGATCAATGTAGTGGTTAAAAGGTTAAAATAGTGTGTATAGAATCTTAAGTTGGAATTATATGATATAATTAATGAACAAGAAAAAATTCATAAAAGTTAATTTAATGCAATGAGATATCGTTAAATGATGTTGGCAAGAAAAATCTCACCATTTCAACAATGACTATCAAGTGATAAGGAATGATGATTTTTTTTATAAAAAAAAATGAGGTATGATTGATCATGCATGTATTGGTCATATATTATATATGAATTTAATTAAAATATATTAAGAATGTAAGGTTTTTTTTTCGTATGCTATAATGTAATTATGAATTGTATGCATAGTTAAGTTTTGTTAGAGTCAATAAAATAATTTTTATATTGTTTCTCATAACAATTTGAAATGTATTATAAGGTTGTTAACTTTAATAATAATTATATTTAAAAAGTAATGTTAATTATAATTTCAAATTCATTGATATTATAAATAGTTTTACTGATAAATAAAACTTGACTTATAATTAGTTGATAATAAAAATAGGATCTTTTAGGAATAGAATATCAAAATAAGATTTTTAATGTATTTATATAGTCCACAAATAATTATTGTAATATAATCGTCATACATATAACATTGCAAAGATCAACATTTTTATTAGTTTAAATATTTGAATAGTATTAACTAATTAAAAATTACATTAAATGTAATTTATAAAATATTTATTATAAATCTCTTCAATTTTAAATTTGATAAAAAAAATTCAACTTTTAATTTCATAGAAATTTATGATTCTTTATTATTTAATAAAATTAAAATGATAATGACAAAATTTAAACTATTATCATTATCATTATTATTATTATTACCGTCACCATTTTTACTTTTATTATGTAAAATTTTTACTCATTATTTTTACATAACTTTTTACCGTCATTTATTTTTATGTAACGATAATAATAATGATAATAATAATAATATTAACAAATAGTAATAATAACAATAATAATAATAATAACAATAATAACTATCATAATCATTATTATTATTATTACTACTACTATTTTTGTCATCACCATTTTTGTCATCAATGGAGATAATGAAATGATAAAATTGTCATTAGTATAAAAAGTAATAATGAAATTTAGAAAAATAAATAAATTGTTCTATAGTTACAGTTTATGCCACCACAGTTTATTTTGTTGAAAAATATTAAAAACGACCTTTTGTTTTGATATTTTAACCTTCATTTTAGAATGTTTCCACTAAAAATATTTTATAAGACGAAAACAGGCATACTTTTACCACATTTTCACTAAAAATGAAAGCAGTAAACAGGCATACCAAACAGCCCTTTAGAATCTTGGGAATTCCACTCGTCGATAATGAATTACACCATAACAATGACTAGGCAATAAAATATCACAGGATTATACTAAACGCCCTTGCCAAGTTAGAATGTAGCTCAGCCACAACTGATAACATTGATAATAGATAGTACAGATACATTTGAGTTCTAGCTCGAATCATCCACTTCAAATTTAAATGCCTATTAGGTTTCTTTCACGGCTTCAACTATCAAATTTAAAATTCAAATACAAACTAGAGGTAGCAACAAAGCTATATAGGATTTCAAATGCGCTAAGGTTTAGTTATCAAATGAAAATTCAGCACAGAAAATACACGCCCGGTAAATCTCCAGATTCAACAGCAGTTCAGCTGCGTTCAGATCTCCTGTCAAACGAGACCTACCATTAGAACCATCAAGGAAATTTTGAAAAATAGAAATTGTAAATTTCTAATCAACTACATGAATGAATAGGAGTTTGATGAAAATATACTCGACCCAAATGAGATCATGATGGGCTCCTAGGACTTTGGCTAGGACTGCGACTCTGGCCAGGTTGAGACTGCAGTTCACAAATCAAAGCATGAGATTATGCGAATGAGAAGAAAAACATAACGCAACTGTGCTCCACTCCTCCCCTTTCTAAACAATGTTTAAGCAATTCAAGTCAGATAACACTTACCGATGAATTTGGAGATCTGGATCTTGACTGAGATCTGCAAAAAAAAAATTAATCAACAAAACTCAATTCAATATCCATAATGATCCACGGCCCATATTCCACATCAAAGTTACCATAACCAAAACGAAGAAATTAATCCACCACAAATCTTCAGCAGCATCCAAGTGGAAAAGCAATTGAACCCAGTATCACACGTCTATAGTCCCAATACGTGTTAAAAATACTATTGTCAGCAGCACATGATAACTTCGAACCAATTATAGGGAAGATATATCCAACCCAATATAAGACAATAAGAGAACTCCTAAATAGAAGGAATAGATCAAACAGAACTCATAGCACAGTTTATGTTGTAGTTTTTGAATTGTAACAGTGCTGATTTGCAATGGTTGGTACCAATGGCATTTAGTTCACGGTGGTCCACCTTTTAGATTGCAACTCATCCATCTACTGTCATCAAGTCTACAACAATCGCAGACCATGCTTTTAATCAAATATATCATTACCTTCATTAATTACAACATTAAGGTGTTCCACAGGTGCTCATCAACAAAACAGTATTACCTCAAACCACAGTTGGCGGTTGAGCACCACATGCCATCAAGATCCTAACATGCAGTTCCCAGGTCGCCGCATAAGGCCACATCTAAAAAACAAGAGTCAACCCTAATGAACATAGTATATAATTAGTGGTCAAGTTGACCACTTCACCATTGTCCTTTCCACCTTTCCAAATATGACTAGTTATGCTGAAGTCTATGGTACAACATTAGGCTTTATGAGAAGAACAAAGTGGAAGGCATACAATAGAAATCTCTTTCAGACAATTAATTGAGAAATAGAAGGAAACAAAATGCCCCCCTCAACTTGCACAAGAAGAAAAAAGAGAAGTTCAAAAAAATTGAGACAACTAGGAATATCATAATATTCTAGAAAAGCAAAATATGAAAGCGCAATCCATCCACAAAAGAAACTGAATGCAATACCATACATATGGATCCAAACAGTCACATAGGTAATGAAAATATAAGGCCATTGTTAATTAAAAGTGAAATAAAGTAACAACAGATATTCCAATGGATTTTCATTTCCATCAAGAAATAACATTGTCAAAAACTCAACAAGCAGAAATCCTATTGAAACAAAAGAATTCTGGGAAGAAAATAGTAATTGCATAGAAGTCAGTCAAGTCACCTATCAACTATATCCCAGTGGAAGGCAAAGGTAAACTACACAAAATAAAGAGAAGAGGTTGAAGGCTTGAAGCTCAAACTAAAAACGGAAAAATAACTAAATATGAAATCATCTAATTGTTATCATACTCGCCATCACATCTCAGTAACTATTACATCATCTGAGCCTCTAAGGTGGGTAGTAAATCATCACATATGCTATTCTACGGTAAACTAATTACCTGATACCTTACTGACTCTGCTATTCATTGAAGACCATATGAAATAAAAAATACTTTTTGCATGTATAAATAACAAAACTAAGTTTTCACCTCTCGTTGTTTGAGAACAGGGATAAGGAATACTTAATATCAAAGCTAAAAGAAGCTTCTCCCTTTCGAACATAGTTTTAAAATATGCTACTAGAGAAATGGATGAATTCTAGCAGACACACACATGATAAACACAGCAACCAAATGTTCCTGACAGGGACAAAAGTTTACTCAAGTTGATTTGTTTACGAGCAAAGATTTAATCAACCATGATGAGTCAACAATAACAAGTAGAATTATAAAACAACCAAAGAAGCTCTCATTTCTAAACCAAAACTCTGTTAAAGGGGTATAAAAATTGAATGAAAAGTAGTAATATGTATCACAGAATTCACCCACATAAATTGTATTTTTCCTGCTGGTGCATGACAGCCACAGTATACATAATATAGTCTCCCCTCTAATTATTTGGTGTCTCATCTAATCGGAATCATCATCAAGTTTAACACAAATTGTGCCATACAGGAAAGACAAAAGGTTTTGTCCAGAAGAATTTCATGCAACATTATCAAGCTTATAATTTTGATACACCATAGATGTACTAAAAGAGAAACGCTAGTTACAATAACGGAGTGATACTCATTTATAAATAAGGTTGACCAAATTCTAGTTTTACCTATTATGTAGAAGCATAAAAACTTAACTTTAAAAATTCAAATCACAGCACAAAGCTGCATACATATCAGACTTGATAGAAACTGACCTTGAAAGAGATATTGAGCGCCGAGAGTGTTTTGCTTTTGGAGAGAAACTGCAAAAACTAACACTTGGTCAATTCTTTGAAGCTACCAAAAATACTTGCTGAATCGTACTTCACCATGCAACCAAAGTGAACCTTCTGCTCCTATCGCTATAGCTATGACTTTGGCTGCGGCTGCGGCTGCGGCTACGTGAGATATATGGACTGCGGCTGAGGCTTCTAGAATAGCTCCTCCTTGAATCATGACTGGGACTTCTAGAATAACCTCGATCATATTCCCTCACCTGGACCAATAAGAGATATATGTCAACAAAAGCAATTACATAAATTGAAAGCCAAATGTAGCCAACTATAATAATCACCCACTCGTATGTACGCCCGAGAAAAGGCATTGCGGAATTCTGAGTCATCAAGTTTCCTGATCTGTAAGACAATACAATGTTATGAAAGTAGAACAAATTACAAGTTAAAAAGATGACAAGGAAAGCAAAACACAAAACCTGATAACCATATACGGGTTTAGAACACTTACAGCATATTACAAGTTAAAAAGATGACAAGGAAAGCAAAACACAAAACCTGATAACCATATACGGGTTTAGAACACTTACAGCATATTTCATATCATCATAATTGGTATAATCAACTATCCCAGTCATGCCTACATACAAATTATACCAAAGTTTAGAATTATGCTGTGAAACTTCTAACACAAATTAGTTCAAAAAGCCTATGAAGTATGAACACATGAAATTACACAGAGCTGCAACAAAAAGACAATTGTCATTGCTTCGTAGACATTTTGTTTTCAAATTAAGTCATGCAAATCAATATATCACCATTTGAAATTACCAGAAAACTTAATTGATAATGGCCAAGACAAACATTTAGATACATGTTTTGATTAGCTTATTTTGTGTTCAAAAAAACTTATCATTAAAATGCTGCATAGAGAACATTCAGATGAAAACTGTGTAAAAATTAATTTAAACCAAACATGTGCTTTGTCTGGAATTATTGGTTCTTATCACTAAATAGCCTTAGGAGTGCCCATCCATACATCAATGGCATCAACTTCTTGATGAACTCAATATTAAAGCCTTCTAATGTATACTGCGGCTCTTAATGACCCAAGATCATAATAATGGTGCAGAAACTGTCTCTGTACTTTTAAAAGTAAAGTATCCTAACTATTAACAAGGACTGAGGCCACAATAGCCTACGCATTCAAGCACCCATCGGTATTAACCATATTGTAATCAAATAAAAATTCCAAATTAGATCTTAATTCACTTACCACCACGCTCACGGAAGACTTGTGAAAAACACACATCACCAGCTTTGCGCATGTGATCCTTAACATCAAAACTCAAAATTAGCAAATATGGTTCATTAATTTTCAACCACTACAAATGATTTCAACATAAAATGTCATCAATCTGCTGCATGAAAAAAGTATGAATCAATCCGTACTTTCAGGTCTTGCCATGAAGCAGATGGAGGTAATCCAGTGACCAGAACTGCAAACAGAACAAAATAGGGTCAACCAAAAAATTCTTTGTACAGGTGCAGATAGAAAGTGAAATGAAAGAAATAAGAACAGTACAAAGATATCAAGCATATAAAAATTTATATTAATAAATCAGAAACATACATACCACGGTAGTCAGAACGCCTGGAAACTCCACGGCTACCACTGCTACCACTATAGCTACTGTAACGGTCTACAGATGATGAATGTCCCCGTCCACCATGTGCAAGTTCAACCTGCAGTAATAAATAGTGACCAGAAGTTCACAAGAAAATTAGATAGTGTGTCCCACAGAGACAAATACATAAAAGCAAAAAGGAATATGTACTAACACGTAATCGAAAACCATCAAAATTGTAACCATCTCGATATTGAATTGCATCTTCAGCATCACGAGCATCCTCAAACTGCAATTTAATATTCAATATATATAATCAGAAGAAGGTTTCTGGAAAAACATGAGATTAATACTTCTTTACTTCCTTTAAATGAAATATAGACATACCTCTACAAAAGCATAGCCTGGTGGTCTTGGAGGGACCTTCAAATCAATGTCAACAATAGGACCATACTGCAATTAGACAGTGAAAAAAGCAATTAGTGAAATACAAATCAAGATCTCTTCGCCTACAACTAGATTTCAAAATGAAGGAGGGAAAATTGACAGAACAATAAGGATTCTTTACAGTCTTTTGCTGCCATAATTATGCTGCTAATAAAACCATAACATGCCCAAATGATAATAAAATAATAAACATGATAGTAACCTGAAGTTTACATTTTTTGCTATGCAAGTTAACAGTACACACAATGGTATTTGTTGATTATATTTGTAATTATGGTTAGATTTGTAGTTTACTAGCAACCCTTGATAGGTTTCCCGGTTACCATAGATAGCTTGATTTGTTACTGTAGATACAGTCCAAATTATTTCCCCATATTCCCAATCCCCAGTTTTAGAGAACTGATTGTTTTCTTCTCGTGTGTGTGTGTGCGTTTTTATATGAATACAGCCCTGTAACTCGATCATCAGAATAATAGAACATTATTATTTTCAGAAATTTATACTAACAGTATCAATCAAATATACACACCTTGTAGAACAGATCCTCTACTTCTCTCAAGCGAATATCACCAGGAAGGTTGCCAACATAAATTGTGCGACTTGATCGACCACTCATTTTTGTCCTAAAGAACAGTTGAAATTACAAACTCATCAATTTTCCTATAAATTCCCATACACTAAGTGTAAACTACTGAATTAATTCAGCATAACTTGACAAAGCAATGCTGAGGGAAAAAAACAACAATAATATAATTTAATACACACACAAATGCATTGATAACAGTACTTCGTGCTTTATTCGGCAGCTTAATGAAACAGAACACAACAGAAGCAATATAAAACAAATATCCTTTCTCTCTCTCTCTCTCGGACCCACAGACACGCACACAAAAACAAAAACAAAAACTTTCAACCCCTGAAACATGCCTTCAGAACATCGATCACCAGAATTAACTTCTTCCACTGTTATCTTCTTGATTAATTGCACAAAAACTCTAGGAGTCATATCAACCACTCAACAGCTAAGAATTCCACTATTTACCCTGTTACAGAATCACTTGGCGACAAAGTCACCCTCAACGAAACTCAGCCATAATGAAATTGAAACTGAGATCCATTGATTAGCTCGGTCGATCCATGGAGAATAAATAAATGGAAAAACGGCAATAGAGAACTAAACCCTAACCTTCTTTCGGGAATTATAAGAAAATGTGACAAATCAGAGAAAAAAATGAAGCATGTGACCGGAAAATGCTGCAAGAACAAAACAAGATGAATTGTGAGAGAGAATGAATACCTTAGAATTAGATGAGAAGTAGCGAATGGGAAGATGGGATTGGATTCTTCAGTTGGTAGAAAATATGAACACTCCAACTTTGTGGGTCTTGTGGTGACACGTGCACCACCAGAAACTACCATTACATCAAAGCCCTCCACACTTTTCATTTTTAAGTTAAATTGCAATTTTCGTTTAGGCTAATATCAAATTTGTAATTTAATTAACTTAATTTTATAAAATTTATAATTTTAATTTTTTACTAATTATTCATTTGTCATTAAAATTATAACGTTAATTTTATATTAATATTATAACTAATATTTAATTATTAAATTCTATTTTTAATTTTCACTTTTATCTCATAATAAAATAAATATAAAAATAAATATAATTAAATTTAAATATTATTAAACATTAATTATTGTATCATTTATAAAATGTTAGATCATAACAAATATTATTTTTAATATTTATTTTTATTTTAATAAAATGAGTTGAAAATAAAAAAAAATTATTGATTACATAAAATTATAAGACTAAAATTATGGATTTAAAATTAGAAATTAAAATTATAGATTTGATATTATAAAAAGATCAAAAGTACCATTAAGAATATTTTTAAAAACTTTATTTATTTTATTTTTATTTTATTTTAAGATTTAAATATATATATATATTAATTTTGATTTTGATTTTTATAAAAAAAATTGAAACAAAATTTATATAGAATTAAAAATATATTTAAGTTATATTTTAATTTTATAATTTATAATATTTTCATTTTAATTTAATAGAATGTATTACTTTTTAACAAAAGTATAAATATTTTTGTTTTATATAATTAAAGTAAGTAGATATATTTAATAAAAAGTTATATTTAAATTTATGATAAATATTTTATATTATTTATATGAGTATTTTTTTTTGGTAAATAATAGTTAAAGAAACAAAAAAGAAAGAAAAAGATAACTTCTCTAGAGTATTGATACTTTAAAAATATTAAAATTTAATTTATATATAAATATGAAAATAATAAATTAAAAAGAGAACAAGAAAAAAAAATCATTAAATATTATTTAGTTGGAGAAAATTTATCAGGAATATTAATATTAAACAATAATTAGTAAAAGTATTTTTTTTAATTTATATAATATATAAAAATAATTGAATTCTTAAAATAATTTATTTAATTATATAATATATAAAAATTAAAATATAACAATTGTACTTAGAAAAAAAAATACTTAATTAAAATGTCACCGTCATGAACTTACCAATTTAAGTTGCAGTGTCTGGCCTGATGAAACACACCTGCATTGTATATAAATATACCCCCACCCTTCCTATGCTCTTCACTCACTCATTCTTAGATACTCATAATACACTTAGTTTTTTTTGTTTCTTTTCTTCTTTCAACATCTCTCAGTAAATATACTCCCTTTCTCTGGAAATTTCATTTTCTTTAGTTTTTTCATCCTTGTTTACCCACCGATTGTCGTCACTCCTCACATGAAACTTTAAGAGTATTGATGTATCAATCTTTCCTGTGGATGTTGATGGTGTCAAGGGATGTTGATGGTAGGTATCAAATGTTATGTGAAGATAAAGCATAAAAGAAGGTAAGAAAAGAAAATTTGGCTTTCTTTTTTAATAAAGATGTAATCTTTTTGGTTTATGTATGTGTGGGTTTTAATTTTGTGATGACTCACTCAATCGTTTCATTTCTTGCATGTCAGTAAATTGGATTGATGTTTTCATGGGTTTTCTGGTTTTTGTGATTGTGTTTGTGAGGCGATTAAAGCATGCAACATTTGAAGGTATCAATAAGGTATCATTTCAAGTGATGATTGATATCCCCTGAATTTAAGGAGACAAATGTATTGTATCAAGTAGATAAAGTCGGATCAGTATTCAGCAGACAAAAAGTTTCTTATGTATGTGTTTGTGTATCACGATAGAATTTTTCCATTTCATGCGCGCATTAAAGTTTCTGCTATACATTTTCTGCGTTTTCTTTTTTTGAATTCATGGGAGCAGTGATGCATTGGTGAAGGAGGAGGTTGATGGGAACATCTTTAGTTGATATAATCAAAGAACTTTTTTCTGATATCCAAATTGAATCTTCGCAGAATGTGTACCCTTATAAGGTAAGGTGCAACTGGGAATATGAGTAATATATTCTAAAGTACCAATTAATATTACAGCATAGCTTATTTTAATTAATTTGATAGAATGTCTATTCACTCTTCTCTCTCATTCATTATGTGGCATCAGAGCTTGGCTTGTTCACTTGATCCTGTAGATGAAACACTATTTATCTCGATGGAGTTGACATAGAACTGAGTCCGTTATTGACCTTTTATAAGCCTGGCTTCAAAGAGTGGTTTGAACATAAATAAGAAGAAAAACGAAAAAAAGAGGTGTAGATAGAGATGGGAAAAGAAATACCTTTGGATTTTAGTATATGTTTTATTTTTCTTTCTTTCTTCTTAACTTTTTGTACCTTCTTTTCTGTATTGAATCTGTTGCTGATTCTTTATGGGTTCCATATTCGCGAGGTTGAAGCTTTGGTCTGATGAAAAAGGAGAATTTGAATTTGTTAATGTGATTAATTTCATTCACATAATGGGTCCTGTAACTTGATTCCAAATCTAAAGCTATGACTATATGACTACTAAGGTTTGCGGTTGAGCAAGAACCGGTTATAGCCATAGGTAATGAGTAATGACACTAATATTTAATTAATAAATCCAACCATTACTGCATATTCGTTTAACTTATCTTGATTACCTCAAAGTCCTCGCTTTAATGTTTTAATAAAATAATATTTTATATAATATGTAATCTACACTTTATACTCCCAATAAAGACGATATATTTTTTTTACACTCATTTTATTGATTATTTAGTTTTTTATTTCAAAAAATATTATTTATCTTCCGTACTTTTTTTTTATTTAATTTTAGTTTTTTTTCTTTATTTCTTTATTTTTCAAACTTTTATATCTTTTAAATAATTATTCAAAATTTCCTACACTCTTTAATGGTTAAACATTCACATATATTTAATTTTAACTCTTTAATCTTTATTTAAAATGAAATCAACACCCCTTCCTCTGCTTTTTCCTATCCTTCATGAACTCCAAAATGAATAAAACTGTGAGAAGGTATAATTCTAGGTGTAGATTGTCTTTTTGAGTAGGAAATAAAAGGAAATGGATCCATATTGTTTTAAAAACGTATGGAAAAACAAAACTTGTTTGGCAAATGTTTTTGGTGGTTGGGTTGGGTTGGGTTCCTTGAACCAGAAAAGATGGTATCGTGAATACAGTGGGCGAAAAGAATCTCTCTAATTAACAAGGTCACGTGAGTCAGCAATTTCAACACGCGCTATTGTGGCCGTTCAAAATCGCAGTCACAGGCTTAGAATTACGACTTCTAATTCGCTTCTTTCTCTTAATTCTATAAAGCAAATCCTTGCGTCTCTGTGTACGCATATCATTCCTCTCCTCCTGATATTTCGTTTCTTTTACCCTTCTCTCTCAAGCTACAATGGCGGATGCTAAGACCCAAATAGAATCTTTGAGGAAATGGGTCGTCGAGCACAAGCTCCGTACTGTTGGTAATTTTCTCAATCCCCTTTTTCATTCATTCCCTTCGATTCTTTTATGATGGGTGTTTGATTTTGTTCGTTTGTTTGTTCTACCCGATGATGTCTAATTTCTTTTCGATTTCGATCTCTGTGGATTTTTCGATTGATACTTGGATCAGGGTGTCTGTGGCTCAGTGGTATTACGGGTTCAATTGCGTACAATTGGTCTCGACCCAACATGAAAACTAGTGTTAAGATCATTCACGCAAGGTTAGTTACAATTATTGATATTCTGGATTTTTGTTTTGTTATGCTTGCTAGTACTACTGATTCTCGACCCAAGTAGCCTTCCTTTTGGTTCTTTTAGAAAGGATGCAAATTGTGAAATCCGTGTTCTAGGTTTTGTTTCCGAGGAAAAATTGAGTTTTCCTATTTTAATGTGGTTCTGTGTTCATATTTGTAACTGAATGCTACGATTGCTTTGATGCTTTGTTCCATGACTTACTACCATGGTTTGTGATCCTCAAGGACTTTTGTTGTCACATGCACTTTGTTTTCACTTTTCACCCAGTGTGTGTAAACTGGAGCCATATATCTATGCAAAAGAATGGAATTGGATATCTTTCTGTCATGGGTGGTGGTATCTTTCCATTCCACTTCATTCTTCCTTTTTCAGCAATCCTATTATTAGCCTGGGAATTGTATCATGGAGCAAGTTAAACTCTTTCTTCATAATTGAGCTTTAACACTAGTATTTACATGATACTGTTCCCCAGATAATTTTTACTCGGGGAAATCCTCTTTATATCTGCCATTTCTCTTATTTTCATTGATATGATGCCCCCCAAATTTCACTTCTCCACGAAGTTAATAATGGCAATCACCTAGGAGAATTGATATACAGGTCCCTTTATTTCTATTTCTCAGATGGCAATGGGAAAAGTTAATAGTTGGCTGGTGGTGTTTGCAACAATTTCTCCGTAGTGTTTGATGGTTACATTTTTAATTGGCTTTGGTTTTGTGTTTTCATTTTCTCACAGTCCTTGTTGTATGAAGATAAGCTTTTGAATTTGCCATTACTCTACTGTCTCTATGGTGGAATTGTCAGTTTTGATGGTATTCCTATTGAAGTTCGGAAATGCGGTAGTTTCCTTAACGTTTGACCCACTAGACTATTTTACGAGATTTTGAGATCTTCTTAATGCAGGAGAATCACTTTGGTTCTTATACATAAAAACAAGAGTGATGTTTAGAATTGTGTAAATTATAGATTATAGATGAATAACATTTGAGTCATACTATAAAACTATTGGAAAAGTGACAGCATTGATTAAGATATGAGACTAGGATTGGGGTAAGTTTATTTGGATTTATGTTACCATATCTGAATCCCCAGATGATATCGGTTGGTCTTCATATCTATGACAAGTAGTATAACCGCATATCCAGAAACATGAATAACTGAACATGAATAACTTTTTCCCCTTTGTTGCAAAATTTACTGCACAGTGTGTATTGATTTATTAATTTTTAGAATTTTGAACCTGCTTTATGACACCCTGCATAATTTCAAACTTATGCTTCTTGCTAATCTTTCTGACCTATTCTATTTTTCAGGCTGCATGCACAGGCTCTTACACTGGGAGCATTAGCCGGAGCTGCTCTAGTAGAATATTATGATCGTAAGGCAGGAGCGAAGGCTCGGTAAGGAGTTTTGGTCAATGGTCATTAAGTACAACACAACGAGAGTAACCTGAATTCTTTATACAGCGGAATCTTTGTAGTAGACTAATTGTCATATCTGATATGATTATTACAGAATTTGCAATTGGCCATGTACTGTAGTCTATTCATTCTTAAAATAAAATACTACATCGGAATGTTAAAATGCTTGAGGCAGAGTGAATATATTTTTTCCTAGATGGAATGGATTGCTTGTAGTGCTAGTTGTTTCATACATTTGCTACCAATTATTATCGATTCATGGTTATCGTGAAATAGGATACAAGCCCTTGAGAAAAATACTAGTAACAATATCTTTAGCACTCTCTTATTAATATTTTTTTTACTATCGGTTAAAAAACACAAATTTTAATGAGTTTTATCACTAAATTGGAAGAAATTCATTAAATGAGTTGCACAATTTGTGGTTTTTAATAAATTTCACCTAATGATAAAGAGTATTAGAAAGAGAACAAAAGCGAAAGTGATTCCTGAGAGATAATGCCATGTTTAGTTTCTCTTTTTAAAATAGTTTTTAGTATTGTAGAATTTAAAATTTTAAAATATTGCTTTATTGCCAGGAGACCTAACGTTTGATAAGGAATTGGATCCCCTGCAATTAATGATTGAACTGCATGTGGTGCAGTTCTAAATCTGGCGGTGATTGATTTTTTAAAAGGGTTGTTGAATTTTATACAAAAGTAAATGTTTCGAGAGGTTATGATTTACGCAGTTGAAAATGTAACTGCAGAAGATCTTAATACCGTGTAAAAGTATTGCAGCTGACAGAAACCCTTAGGAATTTATTTTTGATATTTCGGTTGATACTTCTTACCGACTGTCAATTTGTCACGAAAGATCCTATGAAAATCCTTTGTATACCAGTCAGTTAGGAGGTACTATTACGATTTCAATCATCAGGAGAACAACGAGTCGTGCTTTTCTTTGGGGGTGAAAATGATGGAGTTAGGAAGATGCATACAGTGAGGTGGGATGTTGTTTGTCAACTGAAAGAAGTGGGTGGTCTAGGTATGTTGCTAGAGGTATGAATGATGCTTTTTCTTTGAAGTTAGCTTGATCTTTGTGTTACTAGGGACAAATTGTGGGTGAAAATAGTCCGGAGCAAGCTGGTAATGGAAAATCCAGATAAATGTTCTAATTGTTGGAAAGGTATACGCTCGGGTGGGATGTTTTCCTTCAGAACATCTTGTGGCAAGCTGGTAATGGAAGCAATATTAGATTTTGGTTGGATGTTTGGGTACCTACAGTTGGCATTCTTTTGAAGTTTGAACCATGCAAAGACTACGGTTACTAACTATGATCTTGATTTGAAAGTTGCTGATGTTCTTCCAAGTGGCTCGTGGGATTTAAATCTCCTCAATGATCTCCTTACCCACAAGTTAGTGGGGATTATTGTTGCCTTGAGCCCTCCCTGTGATTGTGGAATACAGGAAACTATCTTATGGAACCATTTTAGCTATGGTATTTTTTTCTTTAGTTTCAGCTTATAATCAGCTTACTAGTTATAATACTTCTCATCATCAACTTATTTTCAAAGTTGTTTGGAGTTGGCCGGGACCTGAACGTTTCGGGGGGATTTCTTTGGAAAGTTGTTCATGAAGCTTTAATGACCAATAGTCTGCTTGATCATAGAGGGGTTACTACTTGTGCTGTCTGTCCTTTGGCAAAATGATATTGAATCGGTGCTTCATTGTCTGCGTGATTGTCCCATGGCTAAAAGATTCTGGAAGAGTTTTCTTCCCCAAAGCCTTGCTCTCAATTTTCTTTTCATGAACGGCCCCTCACCAAGGTTATGTAAAAATTAACTTGGATGGCACATTCCAACCCTTCGCAAGAAGCTGCTGCCGTTGGTATTGTTAGAGATGTAAATTGTCATTTTTTGTTTTCTTTTGCTTGTGCTTTAGGGAGGTGTTCAGTTGTGAAGGCTGAGCTTTGGGCAGTTCTTCATGTGGTTCAGCTTGCTAGGTCCAGAGATTTTTCAAATTTGATCATTGAGAGTGACTCTTGTGTAGCTATTTGACTCATTACCAAAGGTTGTCATGTTCATCACCCTTGCTTCCCTCTTATTAAGACTATTAATGGGTTCCTTAATTCCTGCTCTAGCTATCACCATGTTTTTAGGGAGATTAACACTTGTGTTGATGCACTTGCTAAGTATGGTGGTCATATGGACTTGGAGTTCAAGATTTTCGATAATCCCCTCGATTCTTTTTATATATTATGTTAATCGCTGATGCTTCGGCCGCTGTACAAAGGCGGTAGGTTGTCTTGTTGTTTGGCCTTTTTCTGGCCCTTTTATTACCAAAACAAAATTATCTTTTGGTTGCTTGGGTTTTTTAATTTTTAAAAATCTTTTCCTAAAACAATTTTCACAACTTAAGATTTAAGATGAGGATTTGATTTTAAGATTAAATTTCATAAAAATTATTATTATTCATTTTTTAAAGTTTTTAATAGTTATAAAAAATAATATTAGATAATATTTAATAATTTAAAAATATTTAATAATTAAGAGATACACAATATATATGTGAGATAAGAAAAAATAATATGAAGAATTTTAAATTATTATTTTTGTTTAAAAATTTAAAATTTAACTATTATAAATTTTTTTACAAATATTTAGATTTTAAATTCTTTGTAAATTTTCTATCAAAATAAAAATATTTCATTCTAAAGTATTTAAAAAAAATTTTAAAAAAATAAATTTCTTCATTTAAACTCTTCGTCCAAATACATTCATAATAAATAATAATTTTTTAAAAAGAATTCTAAAATTTTTTGATTCAAAAATTCACAATTTGAATTTATGTTCTTTGAATTTTTTGAAGTTAAATTAATTCAAATACATTTAATGTCAGTTGAGTTACAATCTTGACTTGATTTTAAATATTGCAATCATTAAAAATAAACATAAATCAATACATTATCATATTTTTAGGTGAACATTAAGTTGAAGATGACTCAGATTGACTAATTTGGATCAATAATGTTAGATGAATAAATCAATACATTATCATATTTTTAGGTGAACATTAAGTTGAAGATGACTCAGATTGACTAATTTGGATCAATAATGTTAGATGAAGATGAAGGGGGAACATGTTATATTTTCTAAACCATATTACAAAAGTGTATTCGGATTGGATCATCATAATTTGAACAAATATTATTTATTTGAGTCAAAATTGAACTTCTATAACACCTATTTTAAATAAAATGTACAATATTTAAAATGAGTGTTTCAAACATAATATATTGCATCCAACATGAATAATCTAAACATAATATATTATATCAATTTCAAACACCATATAATGTAATCGAAACACTCAATCTATAATATACAAAATAGGTGTTCCAAATAAAAAATATGAGAGTAGTTTGGATATTTTAAGAAAATGATGAGTATATGAGACAAATTATTGGATGTAGGAAGAAATCCCCTCAATTTCACCTATTTCAATTCTAACAGTCTAACAACATATGATTAAGGGCATTCATCATTATACAATAAATTAATACTATTATCTATTAGTACATATTCAACTCTACTTATAAAATTATGCATTACCATAGATACTCATCTATTTAAGTCATCAAACAGGAGTTATTAAATTAAATTTGACTAATAATGTAACATGTACTCTTAATATCCTTTTATCAAATTATTATTCATAAAAAAATACTTGTCTTCAAATCTTGAAATATGAAGAAATAAAAATTCAAACTTGAAATTCAAACTTGTGTCAAGTGAAATACATGAAATACCACTATGCCAAAGCCTTGTTTTTTTTTTTTTAACATGTTATCATGCAACGTTAAAAGTAGGTCTTTCTCTATTTAAATTATTCAACACATTTATTTGGTTGGATTATTCTTGGATGCACATTGCTCATAACCCTCTAGACATATTATAAATATTGTTTTTTATCCACCAAAGTAAAAGTTGTTATAGATGTATAACATTCACACATGTTACTTAACAAAATGCACCACACCCATTGGTTGATATATCAAATATATACATATCTATATTTTATTGTGTATTAAAAAAAACTTGTTATGACTTTTGAGATCTTTCTTAAATTTAGATTATCCAAATTTTCTTTCCTCCAAAATTCATTAAGATTCATCGATAACTTCACAAGGTTCTTTAACATGTAGATGTAATTTGAGTTGCAAAATGAATAAAAAAATTTGTCCTCATATAAACTATTATTTGATTATTATAATAATTATGAATATTAATTATAATATACACTCAATTATTAAAAATTATAATATAATATAATTTATAATATTTTAAAAAATTAGTTATACAAAAATATTTACTCTGTACAATTCACTTGTTAAAATTAAAATACTTGTAGGAAAAAAAAAACTATTTAAAAATGATCACCTTAATTTTTCTTTTCCCATGTATTTTTATAGTGTGTAGTGAATTTCTCTATTGTAAACCAAAACGCGCGTTTCATATTAGACTATAAAATGAGACGCAAATCCAAACCCTAATTTCTACCCTACTTCACCGCCGCTCGCTTCTTCACACTCTGGTGTGCTCTTTCGGTGTAGCTTAAGGTAATCCTCTCACTCTCCATTCTCCGCTTTCTGCAATCACGATTTCACCGTTCGTTACTTCTCACACACGGAGAACTGCAATAGTGTTAGTCGGTTTTTCCCGAACCACAGAATCTGAAAACGGATCTTAATTCGTGTGTTTGCATTTTTTGATTTGGATTCAGAGGTTCGCGATAGTAATTGAGAAAAATGAGTCGAGGAGGTGCAGCTAGTGCCAAGGGAAAGAAGAAAGGGGCGACATTCACCATCGATTGCGCGAAGCCTGTGGAGGACAAGATCATGGACATTGCGTCTCTCGAGAAGTTTCTTCAAGAGAGGATTAAGGTCGGTGGCAAGGCCGGCGCTCTCGGCGACACCGTCACCGTCGCACGTGAGAAGACCAAAATCATCGTTACTTCCGATAGCAACTTCTCCAAACGGTATATCGCTTTCACCGTTTTGTTTTTATGCACTTTTTTTTTTATGTTTTTCGGAATTGTAATATTTGTTAAACTTGAATTTGAAAGATGCCTCTATTTGCTGATGTTGATTTTAATTGTTTATTGTTTATATTAATATTTTAGGGTTTGTTTTGGATTGGATTTATTTTTGTGATTTGATGGTTAAAATTACTTTCATTCATGCTGATGATTCCAGGTACCTCAAGTACTTGACTAAGAAGTACTTGAAGAAGCACAATGTTCGGGATTGGCTCAGAGTGATTGCTTCTAACAAAGATAGAAGTGTTTATGAACTGAGGTACTTCAACATTGCTGAGAATGAAGGAGAGGAAGAAGATTAATCTTGTTATCGGTTTTATTCATTTAAGAACCTTGTTTACCAATTTTCTCAGTGTTAGCTTCTCTTTTAGCTTGTGCTATGTTGCTTCGTTTACATTAGTTGCGATTAAACAGTTTTGTTTTTTCAAGAGTTTGAATTCAGAACAGAGTTCACATATTATATTTTCAACTTTTGCCTTTGATACGGTTCCATTGCGTTATTAAACAAATTGTTAGATCACCTTAATTCCCGATCCATAGTCCTTTATTATTTGTTTCAAAATGTTGATTAAATGATCAGTTAATTGCTTTAAAGCAGCAATGTAGAATTTTGTTTGCTAATTGATTTACACCTGTTTATTGTGCTTGGTAGTAGTAGAAATAGAGAGGGGAAGGAGGGGAACGAGAATCTCTATTCTATACAGCTCATAGACAGTGTTTGGATAAAATTGTCAATGTCACTATTGTTCCTTTCTTTTCCATCTTTCTTTTGAAAATATATCTTCAACTGCGAAGTCAATCAATCATACATGATTCAAGGATGTATGGAAAGGGTTATATTAAAAATATCATTCTGATGTGTGGAGATGAGAATTTAATCCTTTTAACAGGAAAATCGTAGGTTGGATGCATTTGTATGCGTCCTGCTACTTGACTGGAGAAGTTGTCATAGCCGATTCGGATAGTTTAATGTCTAACCCATGCAGGCTATATTTAAAACATTATGACCATGATTTTGTTTAGGAATATACATGTTCTATGTGATTAAGTTATGTTATTTTATCAGTTTTTGGTAGGCTAATAATTAATCAGGTTATGTTAGAATACTATAAATACAATCTACCATTGATGGTATGTATCACTTTTTGTTTGAATTTGACGTTTGTACCTTTTTCCTTTGGTATAATTATTCAATGAAATTTGTTTAAACTTTATTGCTTGCAACATGTTTTAACCATGGGTTCCGTCAACCTATCACCTTTGTTCATTACTCTCAAAAAGTCTTTAAATGTAGAATGCATGTAGTGAAGAGTCTTTCTATGCTTTCTCTATTTAATTACCGTTCGTAGCTCAAATTCATGCCTCCATTTGTGGCATTCAAACTCTTATTTTGATTTTTGATGAACGAAAATAATTTGTGAAGACCATATACCAGAAAGTCAGCTTTGTTGACACCTTAAAATAATTTGAAACATGTTTTAACCATGGCTTTTTCACTAGGTTTGGGAAGTCTGTTCCAAAAACAGTGGGTACTGAAGATAAGCCTTTCTTTCCCATTTTGATTGTATTACGTGATTTTAAGGTTTAAATGACATGTGAACCTCAGTTTTTCTTGAAACTTTAATTAACTTAAACTTTATAGTTAAACATCATGTATAGGATTGAATATCATGATAATGTGGTTGCTGAGTTGGTGATCATAACCACAGAAGGTCCAAATTATTCTAAAAGGGCAATACAACAACATTGTTGCTCACTCGAGCTATAATCAACGAGTCTTCAACTTGAACATGGTCATTGGATATAGGCGACAATGGGACTGGACCAGTATGTATGATTGGATACGATTATGTGACGAATTGGTGATTTATGTTGTTAAGCTAGGTTCTTATGTATGGGATGAGTTGTTAAATATAAGGATTAAGATTTTAAAAAAAAGTGTAATAAGATATAAATATATGAATAAGGTAAAAAAAAAGGACTCGTGTACCTTTACCAAATTATATCATAAAGGTTACAATGTTAGGTTAGGTTTTGGACTTTTTTATTGCAAAATAAATAAATATATATATATATATATGTATATATATATATATATGTATATATATATATATATATATATATATGTATATATATATATATAACAACAGGACAAATTGTAATATATTTACTAAAATAACGCATTTTACTGTATTTGCAACTATTCTAATCCCGAATACCGAATTCTCATTAGGAAAAAATTGTTTTTGTAAAATTTATTGCTGGGGACCAATTTACTTAAAGTAACTTACATATTAGAAGAGAGAATTGTTAATTTTAGGAGTAAATCTATCTAAATTTATTCTATTTAATAATATTTATGTTTTACATTAAATTTCAATGATTCAATTATTAAATTTTAATGATTCAATCATTAAATTTAAAATTTTTATACATTGATCAAGTCTATAATTTTTTTTTAAATTTAAAAATTATTTAATATTTTATTTCATTAATTCAAATTAATATATAAAATATATTATATATTGATGTTGTACTATGAACTAGTTGAATTTTTTTAAGTTGTTGGTGTAATATAAGTTGTACATGTATAATGTATATGTTAATTCTTTCACTAGTTTATCCTTTATTTTCTTTATTGTTAAATTGCGATGATCATACTTGATATGGGAGTATGACAAGATTATCTTAATGATTTGGATGTTGGTAGATGGTCATGCAAGAGGTGAGCTATTTTGTATATACTATTCTAATGCAGTATTTATTATATAGAACGATAGGGTTGTTTTGTTTATAATTTCGTTAGTTACATATATATTATGTATATGTGCATGCTACGTATGTAACCCCTTAAGGGATCTTTATGTTTTGAATTTTTTGTACTTTATACATATAAATGTTACATGTATGTCTTAGTGACTGTTGTATGATATAATTCTATAGTAGGTTAATAAGTTATATTTTTTGCTATGTAGTTATTCCTAACGTAAGTTCGCTGTCATCGTTAGGGTTAACGCATCCGAGGTATTGTTCGTTTTGGCGCTCGTTGGGCCGTTACGGTTTTGTCCTTGAAAAGGCGCCTCGGTAGGTTAAGGAGGAAGGGTGTTTATAAACTACCCTTAGCCTCAACTCCTAAGCGATGTGGGACTTTTAGGCATTACCGGAACAAGCCCCTCAGTCGATGCTAAGGGGCAAGAGTGGCCTGGGCCCTCCTTCTAGCGCCAAATGTACTTACACGAATCAGGTTGGATTCCTAACTCGGATAAGTCATCTTCCTTACTCTAGTCCAGCCGAGATTGTATGAGATCGGTTGCTGGGGTGAGTTCCTTCTATCTGGTCTCCTTGCTCGAGCGTCTCGGATGTACCTGCAAAAATGACTCCGACGATCAAGTTAGTTGGTGTATCCAGTCTCATGTATTGCTTATATCATTACCTATCGTGGTTTTCCGAGTAACCGTGTAACTGCCGTGTGGTTATCTTCTGAGGGTAGTTGAATTGTATTTGACGTTGTCAACATGCCGAGGTGTTTTGCTGATATCTCTTCATTCGATGTGACATGTCAGCGTTTCGTGGTTTTATTTCAGCTTGTCTAAGAGATCACTTCGGTCAAGTTAACTCGTGAACTCGGCTAAGCTCGGCTCGAGTCAGGTTGGTACAGTAATATTGTGCCACATTAAGTGTAGTGACCTATAAGGTCATTACAAATAATTTTAATTATGTTTATGGGTTAATTATCAAAACGTTATCCAATTAATTACCAATTACTTAATTATTATCACAATTTTTATTAAATTAAGTATTTTTAATTGGATAAATCATAATATTTTTAAAAATGTAATCCTTAAATTCTACAAAATAACAATTTTAATTATAAATTAATAATTTTATTCACTAATTATTTAATTATCTTTCATAAATTAAATTAATTAAATTAGTTTTAAGAAAATTCAAATTTATAAATTAGAATTAAAAAAATCAAAATATAAAAAAAATTGCTGAGAAATTTGAGTGGTCAATCCCAACTTCTCAACAACAAATTTTGAAAAGTCACTGGCACAGTGAAATGGGCTACTTTGGTAAATATACTACTACTTGTAGCATTATTGTACATATTTATTTATTTTGTAATGAAAAATATAAATAAAAGTCTAAATTTTGTGTCCCAGACTCAATTTGAAATGCACGAATCTTGACAAACACAAAATTAATAAATAGAAAAAGAGTAATCTTATTTTTATTTTGTTAAGGTAACAACATTATTATGGATAAAAGATAGGAATAAGTAAGAGATAAGTTGAGACGTATTTGTTTTTGTTCTTATTAGACTTAAAATATTAACACACATATATATAGTTAAATTAACAAAATATTTAAAAAACTTTAATTAGTATATTTTTTAAAATATATTTTAAAATAAATAATATCATTATAAATATAATACTATGTGTTCTTACCAGAATCAGGTCGGTCCTTCAAGTCAGATTTATCATCTTCTCTATCTTGGTCTATATAGAGATCATGAGAGATTGGTCTTTGAGATTGGTCTTCGAGGTTGGTCTTCGAGATTGGTCGCCGAGATTGGTCGCCCTTCTCCAAGCGTCTCGGATGTACCTGCAAAAAGGACTCCGACGATCAAGTTAGTTATCTGAGATTGTCCAGTGAAATGTATATATTTTTACCTGCTATTGTCCGTTTTTCTTCTCTATGTAACCGTCATTATTACCATTAAATTAACTACTTGATATTGTGATTCAAGCTTGGGCAGGCCGGGTTGGCAAGCCGAGTTGGTAGGCCGAGTTGGCAAGCCAAGTTGGTTCGAACTCGGTCACCATTTGACCGAGGTTGGTACACAAGCCCCCCAAGCTCTGAGCGATGTAAGAGTGATAGAGGTTAATCAGGAGATCCGTGTATTGAAGTTGGCCATAAATTAAGTTTTATTTGGTGTAACATATATTAAGGGACTAATGACAACTTATTTAATATTTTGAATATCAAAAGACATAATGATTACACATCCTTTAACCTGGTCACTTTTCGCTGCAAAACAGATGAAGTTTTTAAAGGTGGCATTTCATTTTTCATTGTAATGATGAACCGAAATTCCCTTTATATTGGCAATCTCAACCCGTGAGATTTTCCAGTTCAGAGGGGTTAACATTAACCCCTTCCGAGGAGGAAGACATACAAAAATTACAATTATTGCCTTGGCTTTTAGAAAGCAAAGCTATCATAGCACTTTCTAGATTAGAAAATCCTCGAGATGAATTAGAAAGTAAGTAATGGTAAAGTTGTTTAAAGTGAGTAATGTTTTGTTTGATTGATATGTTGATGTGTTACCTTGTCATTCAAAAATCATGGGAAGAAGTAAGTGGCGTGAACTAAAAGCCAAGTTCAACACTAAGGAGATAGAAATTTCCGATGTGGATCTCCCTTCTCGTAAGGGGAAGAAACAAAAAACCAACGACCCAGTTGAGGTTGGAAAACGAGAATCTGACAAACGAGTTGTGGGGTCAAGTTGCCAAAGT